CTGCCGGGCCTATAGTCGCACAAGTCCTCGAGACTTAGACAGGTCCATTTTTTGTATTTGATATGAATGTGAACAAAAGGTATTATTATTATTATTATTATTATCATTATTATTATTATTATTATTAGTATTATTATTATTATTATTATTATTATTATTATTATTATTATTATTATTATTATTATTATTATTATTATTATTATTATTATTATTATTATTATTATTATTATTATTATTATTATTATTTTAAATGCGAAGCATTTCATAGCGAACTTCGGCGACTTTCAGCGTATCTATGTATCTATCTAGCCGCATACGACTTTTAGCTGTCCTGGCCGTTTAGATTATGGTATCGATATCAAACTTGGTATGGCATAACATGACTGTGTGAAGAACATATTTGACTAGTCATAACATGAAAATCATGACATGTATGTAATGAATGTCATAATTTATACTTATGGTCTTGCAGCTCTTGCGCTGGTTTTGTTCACATGGCATGTTGCAAAACTGGTATTGTATGGCATGGTTGCAGGGCGAACACAAGTGACAGACCCTTACACGAAAATCATGACATGCGTGCCATGTAACAACATCACTACATGCCGCGCTCATCGTGCGTTCGCGGCAATTTCGCTAGCGTCACATATACCAAATTCGGTGTTACAGTACGTGAATGAATGGCGATGGTATGTGACTGGTGCAAAAATGATGATCATGAGATGCGTGTCATATAACAACATGACTACATGCCACGCTCATCATGCGCGGGCGGCCATTTCGCTAGCTACACCTATACCAAATATAGTATTACGGGACCTGAATGGATGACGGAGGTATGATACTGGTTCAAACATGATAAACATGAGATGCGTGTCATGTAACAGCATGACTACATGCTACGCTCATGATGTGCTCGCGGCCAGTTCGCTAACTTCAGATATGTCATATTTGGTGTTACGTGATGCCAATGAATGACGAAGGTATGTGACTGCTTGGTGCAAACATGATAATCATGAGATGCGTGTCATCTGAGAACATGACTACATGCCACAGTCAATGCGCCAATACATTTCAATTTGACGCGGTGCGCGTGCTCGCCGGCGTTCATTTCGTCGCGCCACGCCGGCGTTGCCACGCCAGGCTCCGGTCCTGCCATATATACTCGCAGGCGCGCGCTGCGCTGCGTTGCTTAGACGCATGCACGTTTCAGCGCGTTCGGCGTTCCTCCGTCACGAAAAGAGGGAGACGCAGTGTTGTCTGGATAACAATTCGGCGCGAAATGCAGCATGTCGCATTTCGCGCCGGTTGCCGTCGGGCCATGCCGACGGACGCTGGGCGCGCCTGGCGTCAGACTATGTAGAATGCTCGCGTTTTGCTAACGTAGCGTCGCTGTCTCCATCGAGCGCGCTCGTCAACGCTACATTGGAGTATATTGGGTCCTTCATGATGCGCTCGTGGCCGTTTTGCTAGCTCCACATATACCGAATTAGGTCTTACGTGACGTCAATGGATGACGAGATGTATGACTGGTGCAAACATGATAATCCTGACACGCGCATCATGTAAGAACATGACAACATACCACGCTCATAGCGTGCTGGCGGCCGCTTCCCTAGCTCCACATGCACTAAATTTGGTATCACGTGACGTGAATGGATGACGAAGGTAAACGACACATCCAAACATGATCATGACACGGAAGTCATGTACGGCATCGCTTACCTCCACCTCGTAACTTCGTGCTCATGTTAAAGAGACATTTCAACATTTCTCATTCGTACTTCGCATATCATCGATTCCTACTGTACGTGGAATCTGCCAATTTTTTTATTAATACATTTGGTTACACAGATACACAAGAAGAGAGAAACAAGAGGGAGAGAATACGTACCGGAAACATGCAACTGGTGGACGGTTGGGAAATCCCGCAAAAGGCAAAGCAGAGACCGTGGAGGAGGAAGAGGAAATAAATAAGACGCTTGCACTTAAAGTATATTCGCCCAGTGCTTGAACTACATAGGTGCATCTTATACGATAGAGCTTCTGCTTATAAGCTGCATCCTCCTGCAGTGTAGTCCTCGAGAAACAAGCTTAGAGATAATTTCTTCCACAATTTGTGACATCCAAGGTCTTGTATACAGAAGCTAGGCTACATTCGCTTGCTATCCAGAATAAATTGTTAGCAGTACAGTCATTTCTGTATGCCCTGTTAGGTGTTCAGAAACAGTTTTTATATACTCATCCTCACTTTCTTTCTGGAGAATTTCATATGCCTCAGCGCTAAAGACATGCACATGTACATCAAAACGCTTGTTACTTCTATGAAATGCATTTTATGACCTCGACTTTGAAGACAGTAGAACATTCTGGGCCAAACGAACATAATTATTGTGAAACTGTCGTCGTCGCGACTTTAATGCCATCAAATGTGGTATTAAATATGACCGACTATAGTTATTAACAATATTATTTCAATAAGGCATTTAAGACCTTCTATTCTGTTGGCACTACTATATAGTACAGGTGATCCAGGTATCTTTTGAATGTATGTAAATCAGCTTACAATATTTATTTCTGTGTGAATTGCATAATAAAGTTTTAAACGTTATAACCAACACTATATGAACTCTTGTTGTTTACATATATGTGTACAGAACACTGCATGCATGCTTATTTAGCCGATTGTGTTATCTGCTTTGTGTAAAGCTGCTATATGTAACACATTTTTATGTCTAATGCAATCGAATGCCACATAAGCCTGGGGTGGAGTTGACCATATGCAATTCTTTATTATAGTAAACTTCCACTCTTATGTGTTCGTTCAGGATCAGAATAAATTGAAAAGAGCAACAGCTTGTTTTGATGATTCCGAGGCAATAAAAGAAAAGAGAATAGGCTATAGCAACCTGTCAGAGCATGTTTTTTCTTGTAAACCTGCTCCACACGAATTGAACGCAGAGCCGAAGAGCATGCAGTTAGAGCTCTTTAATATTATGTGAATGCAGAAAATTTCTATAGAGGAAATAAGAATATTTTGACCTCAAGACACCTGTGGAGATAAAATTACAATGTTGACAAATCCCTTGAAAGTGTACTCTGGATCCTTGGTGCCAATGTCCACGGGGCAGTCATAGAGGTGGTATAGTTACGACCCCACAAGCCAATCAACCCCCCCCCCCCTAGCTTTGTTCAGTGCACACTGTGAAATTGTACAATATTCTATAACTTCCAGTGCAAAGCTGTTGTTTTAGAAAATTTCGACATTGCCTGTGTCGCCTTCATTCGTCAGCGTTTCGCGCTGCCGGACAACATTCTAATAAAATCAAAGAACTTGAATAAAGGTCAATGGGAATGCTTCTCGCGTAACTTTCTTTGATGTTTCTTACACGCGATAGCTAGTAAGAACATTTACCCATTAGCAGACTGGATATACATATGAATAAATTGGCAAATACCGTGCACCCCCCACATCGTTCGACTCCGCGGCCACTGTACAAAGCAGCCCATAAACTGCACTGGTGGTGGCTAAATATTGGCTCTCTGGACAAGTGCACAAGACATCTTCTCTTTCGATTTTCTGATGCATGTGCTACACCAAATTAAAATATGAGCACGCGTGCCGTTATTACAATATAATTGCAGCTAGCAGCGTGCATTGAGCCCCGCCGCGGTGGTCTAGTGGCTAAGGTACTCGGCTACAGACCCGCAGGTCGCGGGTTCGAATCCCGGCTGCGGCGGCTGCATTTCCGATGGAGGCGGAAATGTTGTAGGCCCGTGTACTCAGATTTGGGTGCACGTTAAAGAACCCCAGGTGGTCGAAATTTCCGGAGCCCTCCTCTACGGCGTCTCTCATAATCATATGGTGGTTTTGGGACGTTAAACCCCACATATCAATCAATCAGCGTGCATTGATGTACCAGCAGCCGTGCAGCACATTCATGCGCGAGAGAACGCAGAGAGTAAATCTGTTCATCGTGTTATAAATTCAATTCAATAAGAATCCCAGTGTATCTCAAACCTATTCGGAGCTTTTTCAATTGACCCCTGCCCTGTTAACGAATTTCAGCTCTTTGCAAAATTACAGCGCGTATACTTATTCAGAAAAAGAATTCATAACTTCGGGAACATGGTACCCTATGCAAAAATAGAAGCAGATTAACGCCCGTCACACGCGTTCGTCTTCTCTAATAACGCACGCTTCGTTGCACATGCGTAAACTTTGCTTGTTTAATTTGCTCGGACGGCGCCGTACACTGGCTCAGTTCCAGCGTCGTGAAACCGAAGCCAGGAAGCGTGCAGCGAGTGTCGAGGAAAGAACACATTTCCGCAACAACGGCGAGCCAAGGGACTGACTGCTCATGCGCTTTCGACAGCGGGAAAGGAGTATTCGGACGTTTTCCATACGAACGCGGCAGCGCAAGCAAGTTTCACCTCCACCGACTGACAACACCGGAAAAACAAAACAGGCATCCAATACCTTTTGTTTATTATTATTCTTTCCACAGTTCCTTTAGCAGTCCATCCTTGCTACCGCTCCAAAAGAATGCGCGGGATCTCGCCTAATGGCACCCGGTGCGGTGGCTTCACCGCAACGAAGGCCAATGGCGGCCGCGTGGCGCAGAGTGCTGCGCGGCTTACCTGGCTCGCGCCTGGATTCGTTGGCGCCGGTGAGCGGCCGGCCAATAGAGAGTGGTGGCAGGTGGGCCGGCGTACCTTTAACGACCTCGGAGCGCCTCCCCGGTACGCCTCCGTTCTCTCGCAAGGGCCGGTCTTCCGTTCCCCTTGCCCCCCGCGCCGGCACCAACACCGGCTCGGCAGAGTTCCTTACCGTTGCCACCTGTCTTCGGCAGTCGAGAGACGCCAACTTTCACTCGAGCCAGATTACACGCCGTCGGAGACCGGCATGAGACGACACCGTCGGGAAGCAGTGGGATTACGAGCAACCTCCCCGTCGTTGCTTCGGCCGCTCTTCTCGTGATGCGGCCGCCCCTGCTACGCTTCCGCTGCTGCTGCTGCTGCTGCTGTCGCTACAGCGTCACGGTGCTGTATTAGTGGAGTGTCGGACCACCGTCTCGCGCTGTTTCATTTCTCCGAGTGCCCGACATCTCGTTCGCGACATCCGTCCTCTGCCTCATCATCGGTTTCATCGGAAGACGAAAAAGTGGTAGTGTGTGGCTCTCATCCGGAGAACGATGGAGACGTACGTGCTCATCCCGAAGGAGCTCAGTCTCGTGATCGGTGACCGCGCGACGTCGACGACGACGACCAACGACTCGACGACTCCGTCCGGCGATCGACCGCCCGCCAAGGAAGTGACCGCGGCCGTGTGGAGCAACAGTCGCATCTCCCGCGGCACGAGGTTCCTGCCCTTTCAAGGAACCGTCCGCCTGGACAAGCTTGAGGTGTTCGGCACGCTCGACCAGAGAGACGTGAGTGTCGTTCGCTCCCTTCACCGAATCGCTTGTTTTCGTAATCGCCGCACCGCCGCACCGCCGCCGCAGTACACATGCACGTGGTTTTGGCGCGACGGCTGCGAGCGGTTTCGCGTTGCAGTCGGCGTTAGTTACGTGTTGCCTGCGTTCGTATGCACGCGTTTCTATTGCGAAATATTGAAACTTTAGAAGTTCATACGCATGCCTAATTGGTTGACGAGATTGACAATCTTATGGTGTCAGTCCTGACAACTACCGAAAGAGGTTTAAAAACTCCTTGCAACTACCAAATTGACGAGAAAGCAACATGGGGAAAACGCTATTACTTGGCAGGCATTACTATTATAAACAGGTCGCACTGATGCTCCAGGTATGTTAGCAAAACATGGTCAGCTAAGCTTTCTTTACAGACTTGTGATCGGATTGGTATATTTAATTAATTCAGATAGCACACTGCTGTAACCAACTATTGTGTCGTTCAGATTTGTTAGTGGAAAATGTTTTTCTCCTAAAACCTGTTAGTTGCGCAACCATTTCCTTTCTCTTTTTTGTATTCTTTATACAGGTCTTTTTTTATACAGATGAAGGTTCTTAACTTATTCGAAACCATGTTTTTACAGCCGGTGGAGGGGATTATAAATGCTGGTATTCGTGTGACATCGCTGGTGCTTTTGTGGCGGCTCAAATTTCTAAGCCAGCCGGAGACGCCACGCCTAACTGAACTCTTGCCTAGGACCTCAAGAGAATTCCAGATGATATAGTAGAGTACTAAGTAAACTAAATCGTTAACAACTTTTTCTAAACATGCGAACACGTTGAGGGTGGGGTGCACGGGACGGCTTTTTGTTTCTCCCATATTAGAGTACCATGCAGGTACTCTAAATCGTTAACAACGTTTTCCTAACACACATATGCGACCGCCAGACTAAGATGAGACGGTCAGTTTGCGTGGAACGACTTTCAGCTCTCCCATAGTACAGTACCAGGTACTGTAAATCGTTAAAGACTTCTTCTAAACACACCAATACATTTAACTTTTTGAATACCATTCTGTGGGGCGATTTTCATGAAAATGTCCTTTGGTATTAATGTTCACCCGCTTACTCTCGTGAACTCATTCACGGCGTAATTTTTGTGAACAAGGCCTCATCAAGGGCGACACCCACGGGATGGCTTATTGCTCTCGCATAAGATAGAGTACCAAGTACTCTAAATTATTGAACACTTTTTTAAACACATTTTTATGCTATGTTACAGTACTTTGTACTGTAAGTCGTTGTTTTTAATACAAAGTGTGAACAGCTTCATATAAATTCTTAACATTTTCCGGAGTACAATAATTGTGTCAACTGCACAAGTGATCACTACATGGTTCACCGTTCAGGTGGAAAAAGGACACACTGTGAGCCGAATAAACGTTTAGTATTTTTGCAACACCTGTGGCTGTCTACTGCTGCGTGGTGCCGATGCGAAACGAATGGAGTCGAATTTGCCCGCCCTTGCACTCATATTCCACCACAGAGCAATAGTGAGGGCTTATGACGCAAGAACGAGAACTCGTGGTAGGATCGTTAAAATGTCCCAAACATATCGCAATACTTTTTTAATGTATTTATAGCAGCTGCTGCAACAATTCTTATAGCCGTAGTTTAGAGAACCACACATAACTCAGTGCTATAGTAAATTTCACAGTAAACTAATCGATGTCTATGACAGGAGAACAAATCCTTAAAATATCAAAGAGATCATGAACACTTTCGTTTTCCCCTTCCCTGATAGCCTCATGAATAACTAAAATGACACTAATATATTTATGCTGCGCTCTATATATGTGTGCGTGTCCACATATCACCATTCAACACATGTAGTGCCACGAGGATGTCCCAAGTATAAATGATGACAAAGTATGCAACATTTTGTTTTTGACTTGGTCACCACACTCTGTCTTTGCGCATGCATAATACAACAGAGTCCTTAACGCATCCTACATGATGTTTCATCGCTCATGTGGCAAGAAATGTGAATGTGAAATCTGGAGAGTATACCTTCGAAAGACCTTGTCAGACATAGAGAAGAATGCTCATGCATGACGACCTTCGTTCATGATAGCTGTACATCATCGCTGTTGATTATTGTTAATATTGTTGATAGGTGTTTCTTACGGGGCTATAGCTTTAAATCAAAGCTAATGCGAAAATGAAACCTTTCTATATCTGGCCATAGTACGTTTCCAGTTATATTGCAGAACTTTCCTTCTTGCTTTATTCTTGAGAGCATAAATGCACCAGCTAACAGGTTCTATTTTACAGGTATGTGCCACATTCGAGGTTTTCTGTATCCCAAAAGCAGCATTTTCTCTCAAACAATTAAGCTATACATAAGCCCATCTAAATAGTATACACACATTTTGTGTGGCTATTTTAACACATGTAGTGGATTTATTGAGGTCGTTCTGGGGTCTTACAAAACTATTTTCTTATCATCAGGTAAGCTGCATATAGTGAGAATGTGAATTAATTTAACTCACACTGTGTTCTTTAACGAGCACCTGCATCGAGGTACACTGGCACTCTTGTATTTCTTCCCCCATGCTAACCCCCCCAGTACCGTTCTGCACACTATTTGTAAATTTTATGGCACTTCCTGATATACATGCGTATCATATATCAGTTACTTAAAAAATAAATATTAGTACTTATCTCTTGAGTTTAAGACAAGGTTTTCTCTCTTATTGGCGTAATTGCACTCATCCCAATATGCACCCGCTAACAAAGATATTCGTACAACAAATTGTTAATCAAGAATCAGCGCAAAGGAAAAGCGGTGATCTGCACACAATTCATAAACTTTATTTGCCGAAGACTGTGAACAAGGCAGCAAATAGTAATATCAAACTGAGTCATGCATGTTATTTATAGACAATTTATCGCTAATTTGCTTTGCATTTTGTTTGAATGGATGTCGTTATCAACCTGCTAACTAGTGATACGTTGTTCCTTTACAAGCACTCGCACAAGAGCTGTGTCTTTACGCATATAGTCGCAGCTTCAGCGCACGCACAATGTTTACTTATACTCTCACATTATATCTTGTTTCATTTTAGATGCAAAGCAGCTCTTCGCGACTAGCCTGCGTAACACTGTCCCTCCGTCTCTCCGTGCCAACGCACCGCACTGCGCTTTCCTCACCGCAGGTGTTGGGGCGGTGCCAAGTAGGTCACGCCTTCCCTACAATGCGCGGTGACGTCACTCTCTCTTTCACCTGCCGCGCGCTTGCCTCGTGTCCCCTCTCTCCCATTCATCCTTTACACCGCTCACAACGTTTGAGCTCACACTGCGTGAACTTTCTTTAGGCTCGTTAATCGGCGATGGAGAGTACGCAGGAAAGCGAGGCTCCTTCGCCCGTCCAAACATGCATGCACCGAAGCATTTTGATTTAACCTGGCCGCCCCTGGCCTTGCCAGGGTTAGCAGAGCCGATCGCGTTCGCGAATGGCGATGTAGCGCCTGCAACACCGACGAGGCCCGAGCAGGGAAGCCGAACGCAAGCATCGGCAGCCGAAGACCAACGAAGCCAATGAGGGGCAAGTCAAAAACGCCGATCACGTTCGTGCGCAACATTTCGCATCTTATCAGGGTTCGTTTCGGGAAAACGTTTCTTAATGCTCTCGCGTTAAATTTACCAGAGTCTATTCTCGCCGTTTTTGGGTAGATATAAACTGTCAATCACATGTGACACATACCCACTGCGGGTATGGGCCACACGTCTGGCGGAAAGAATTCGATGACGTACGCTATGGACTGTCACAATTTATGGAAAACAAATGCTGCACTTCCTGTAAATACCAAGAGGCAGTAAAATCTCTAACTACACAACGTCTAATATGTGCCTCAAGTGCACAGAGCAAATATAATCGGACGAGCATACACTTGCTTCAGTCGTAAGCAAAGCATTACGTCATACATCAGGCGTCTTCACAGGCCACCACAGGAACGCCCTCAAGCGTCTGCACATAGCTGAATTCACTTTTCCTTCCTAAAGCATCCTCAAAATACCATCCGAGCTCTACCAACAACTCATTCCTCCCCCCCCCCTTTTTTTCATACTTTCTAAGCGTTCTATATTGTTTTCCTTACATAGCAACTCGTTCAAAAAAAAAAAACATGAGCATATGGGGAAACTATGCCTTCGCTCAGCAAGGCTTCAAGTTTTTTTTTCTCTTGATATTTTCTTACACCGAGTGTTCCAGGTATTGAACGCACACCGAAGCCTTGAGGACAGTATTCTTACGATTTCCCATGCGATTTCTCACAACGGTTATCTCCATTGCATTTGGTTGAATTTCGTTACGCCACAATAATTACTAGAGGTTGCTTTCTCTGTAGATCTCAAAGCTGCGATGAGGAACTTTGACTTTCTCTGTTGGCATACCAACTTAACGCTACTAATTAGAGAGTTAAATATCTTACTTTCGTAATTTATGTTCCAAATCATGTCATTAACCATCTTAAGATGCTTGCCGCTACAGAAAAAGCTATTCGGAACGCAGGGAGCAAATACCACATTTTTTTTTTACTTCTGAATATTTTCTACACATTTCATAAAAACTCAGTATAAGGAATTTCTTTTCGCTATTGTGTGAGGTTCACGGGAAGCAGACTTTGCGGGATAAAGCTTAGTATTTGCTGCGTAATTATTGAGAGCCTAAATGGCGTTACTCTTACACCGCCCTTGAAAAGCATTGATCTTGCAAACTGAAATAAATTTTATATTTTCATAAACCCTAATTCATCCTTAATTTTTATATCATTGGTATCATAACTTTAAATTTCAACAAGTGTTCTACTTAAAGAAAAAACGAAAAGTAAATCAAAAGTATGTATATTGTGATTAATAGCGTTCTGAGACATTAAAAAAATCAGATAACAGTACGTGAGCTATACGACATGACAATGACTGACACAGATTAACAACGAATCTACACCAACGGGTTGAAAA